AAAGTATAAAATGGGAGGGGGGGAGGGGGAGGGACGGCGGAGCGCGAGTGACGGTGAGAAGTGACACGTTCGATTAACGAACGATTTCACGTTTATTAAAGCCAAATGTCTGTTCGTCAGTTGCGTTATGTTTGGGAGACGGGCACCTCGGGAGGTAGTTTATAAACGTATTTTTATGTATTTTTCTCACAAACAATATTTCTAATCGGTCAAAAAGAACCGAAATTGGGTATTAGTATTAGGTGTTAACCTTATTACAAATTAATTCGTTGTCTTTTTTTATGAAATTTTTATGAAATTTAAAGTTTATGTGACAAAAAGTCAGGTACAAGTTTAAATGCTCGAAATGATTTTCATTATTTTGCTCGACTTTACTCCATCTCTCGGACAGCTGATGAATGCCCTCGTGGAAGAAATTTGGCGGTTTTGAGTCGATAAAGTCACCAAATGCTTTTTCGGACCTCGTCGACTGTTTTAAAACGCGTATCCGCCAGATGATGTGGAACGACCGAAATAGGTGGTAATTTGACGGGGCTACATCTGGCGAATAAGTTACATAAGGGTCATTTCCCTCCTCAGTTTAATGTATATATGAGATCCCTTTGCGGTATGTGGTCGAGCGTTATCGTGCAGCGGAATCACCTGCCAGTTCTATTGCCGGTAAAAGGTCTTTTTTACAAGTTTTACTTCACCTTCACTCAGAGCGGAACAAATAATTTCGGTGAACTAAGTAACATTTTTATTCAACTGGAACGCAAAAAGGATGCTGTATTTCAGATGCTCCTTTTCGGACGATATTGTGATAATTACCGTTTTCTGAGGTTATGTCGGCAAGGCCGTCAACTATTATAATGCTTCTTAAAGCTTAAGATTGGCACTTTCGAATCATCATAGGACGGGAAAAGAATTTAAATTTTAACCAGAATTACAAGACGTTAAATGTAAAGACACCGAATCAATTTGTACACTTAACAATAAACAGGACAAATTTTTCAAATTTGAAAAAAAGTCTTAAGATAGAACCAAAAACATTTGTATTTATGTTCTTCAGTAATTGAAATTTTTCTTGTATCGTTTTCGTTTATCACGCATTAATATCTAGCGACTTTACTGACCAATTAGAAACGTTGCTTTTAATCGTATTATCTCAGTTTTATTATTTAATTGTATGTCTCAGATTTATTACTTTCTATTTTTATTTTTTTCTATTACTTCCATTTTATTTCTTCCTCACTACTTCCCATCTTTGTTACTTTTTCCGCATTAGAGAGTGTTTTACGACAACCATGCACAAGAGAAACGACAAACGGTTAAGCAGAGCGTTGCTTACCTTCACAACCTGCCGCTCCGGCTGCTGCAAGAGAAATCAAACAAAAATCATGCTTCAACGGAAGTCACAGAAGATCGCAAAAGATGATCTTCTTTGGTCGGGAAAGCGCGAATAGTAAATTCAGCGCTTAAAACACTTGATAAACTTACCCTTTGCTGGCTATGTACTATCAAGGTCCCCTTATTACCATTCGTCTGCCCTGTCTTGTACGGTGAGTCCACGTTACCGTTTGTCAGATAGTCTGTAAAAACATTCAGTCGATAAAATATGGAGAACGTTGCCGCCCTGCATGAAGTCGTCGCCCTTCCCACTTGATAATATCTACGATTTTCTGACTATCCCCCTATGAAAGCGTCAATCACTTTAAGTACCAGAACCTCCGCATTGATCGACACAATAAAGTTACACAGAATGTTCATTTCTAGGTTTCTACGTTTATTGTCATATTTTCATACTTTTACATTCCTCGACTTCTTTCTTTTCAGTCAAGAATTAAGATAAGAAATATTGATTACTGGACATATTTCTACGTTTAAACACAGAAACTTACCATTTATTAATTCCAAATGTTTCAATTTCTATTCGTACTATTTTAATTCTTAATTCTTTAAGTTGATTATATATAGGATGTTCTAGAATAATCACATGTGGAGTATACCGAGAAATTTTTTTATATTAAACAAGTTACTTTTCCCTCTATTAACAATAGAAGGTCATGAGGTGATAACCACCGATTTCAATAATATTGCTTTCATGGATAAGCCTTGGTACGAACTTTTATTGAACAAAAGGAGAAAGCGCATTTATCAAGTATTTTTTAGCAAATCGAGGTTAAAAGCGAACGACAGTACATCGAAGTTTAACGGGACGTTGCATCAGAATACTGTGCACGTTGTCATCGAGATACTCGCTCTTTGGTATCAGGTTTCTATTAAACTTATTTGCATGTCGCTCGCGATGTTTTAACTTCGATTTTCTAGAAAATGCTTATAAAGTACACTTTCTTTTTTTGCTCAATAAAGGTTCATATCAAGGTTTATTCACACAAAAAATATTATTAAAATCGCAGTCGCTGATTATTGCGGCTGCCTACGATAATGGGTTTGTAAGAACTTGACCTATGTATGACCTTGATTATAATATTAGATTATAATATTACTGTGGAATGCATCACTTAAAGTTCTACAACATTTATATGGAATTTATATTTTTTTGAAAATACGTAGTTTTCGAAATATCAAGATGTCCCTATACTTTTTGTACACCCTGTATAATTGGATCATATCAAATAACATTATCATATTAATATCGTGTGTCCTCATAAGAATTAAATGAATTTGGCTCTGCGTCGTCAGATGTCCGGCAATTAGAACGTTTGCTTTACTCCTCGAAATTGCAAATGAATGAAGACTCAGCCAAAAGACAGAAAGCGTGACGAGACGCGCCGCAGAATTTCAAGCACTCCGTCTGTCTGCGGATCATCGGTTCTGGTATATAAAATGTCTTTCGAATGCCCGCACTTCGTTGTACTCGGCTGGCATTCTATTCGTGATGTTGTGAACGTGAGGGACGGTAAGAATCTAATTGTCCTCATGCCAACTATGTTGGGGAGAATCAGTCCTTGATGCGCGCTAAGAAGATGACGCGTAATTTCAACAAACGCACATCGCACTAAGAGGATTCGCAACTCAAACCTATTTCGCAAACTATTTCCGGTCGCGACCGATCATCAGCAGTTGTTCGGTCGGAACTCGGCAAACGATGGACTGACTTCGACAGCGATGCGTCGTGAGATCTCTGCTTTCTGACAGCGATTCATTCGACACACGATCGCTGTCGTAAATAAAAAAAACGATTGATCGGTGGATCTCTGTCTTGATAATCGAGGAGGTGAGTTATCAAATCTCTATATTAACGGTAGGAAACCTAATCGGGTGTTCACCACACACATCACCACGTCTGATGAGTATAAGTAATCGGTAATTACCCCCTTCTGACTGGGCGGCAGAGTCGTACAAGATAAGTGTACTGTTACCATTGTTGTAGTTCAGACTATTGTTGCTAATGATGTTCGTTTGGCTGTAGGTGTGGCCCGGCGAGACCGGCTTTATCGTCTCCTTCACCTTGTAGGGCTTGGTCCCAATTTGTGGCACTTCCGCACCCTCGATGAATAGGAACTGCAAGAAATGAAGAAATGATGTCGACGAATCGATACGTGAACGACGAATTATTGTGAAAATTATTTCAGTTTGTCCAAATATTAGTTCGTTCATACGCTCTAAAGCGTTGTCATTATTTTTGTTAACAATTTATGTTAACATTTATGTTAATAACTTTTTAAAATGAGCTCATTAAAAATGAGCGACGCATGAAACCTTTTGATTATCACTCAGAACCATTTCTTTGACAACGTATGTCAAGGTCAAATCAATCGGAGCTGCCTCCCCTGTTGTAAACATTTACCCAAGTTACTGTTTTCGTTGTGAAAGGGTAACTTTTCCAAAATCATCTTTCCAGTCCCGGTGCATATTAATAAATGAGTATGTTAATAGTTATTAGTATATTAATAGATAGAACGAACGATTACCTCCACCGTGAGGGTGCCGGTAATGTCATCTTCCTCGTATGGCCGTGCCTGAAGAGGTATGATTTGCCGCTGGCTCGGATTCGCGAGAAGCTCCTCAACGCCCACGATTCCCAGTCCCAAGAATCTCTGGCTTTTATTCACGTGATCGAATACCTCCAGCAACACCTCGGTCGTATTATGACTTATGTCGCTGCGAATGCAAATATCCAAACTTTCAGCCCCATCGCAGACCGTCTTCTCGCGAGGTAATTATAGAATATGCGTTTTATAATTATAGAATAAGACGTTTGTTTAGAATCACAAAAACTACAATATATCTGGAATCGAAGTGATTTGACCGGGATTATTTTTTTTACATGAAACGTGCGGCCTTCTTTGTGCTCCTACGCTGGGAATCGACTAAATACTTACTCACATGAGCCAAGAATCCATTGTAGGATTCGAGTCAAACATTCCCTCTTATAATTCCAAGTGATGACAACATTTTCACGTGCTATTGTTTCGAGTGAATTTTCATTTTGAGCGAGATTTCATCCCAAGAAATCCAGAAAATAACGATGAAGAATTTACGAGAGCAACGAGAGTGCACGTAGATTTGTTATATTGGACTCACAATAGAAACGCTTCGTCCCAGACCGGATTCCTAGTGTCTTTCTTTATGGCGGTCTGATTCTTCTGCGGCGGCTCATCCAACTCCACCACGCAGTACGGTTCCACGGAGCCTTGCTGGCCGCCGAGATCGGCAGCCCTCACGATCTTCACGAGCAACCGCCTCTCGCCAGGCACGTATTGCATCGGTGCTGCTGGCGCAGCTTGTAAACGTTGATGTGGTGGCTGTAGCATCGAGTTCGAGACGTTCTATGAGTGAAACGTAACGGTGGGCAAGCAACAATGACGAGACTAACACATTCGATGTGGCTTCCGAGTTAGCATGGCATCTTGCGGGGATTTGTATCCGACGTTTCGCAAACATTTTAATTCACTTTTTCAGGAATGAGAATCGACCTGAAACTGTTTCAGATCAGTTTCAGGTTGAACCTCACTCTGAAGAAACGAACTAAAATGTTCACAAAACGTTGGGTACAAATCCTCGAAAGAAATGGCGTCAAATGGGAAGCCATATCGTTTATATTATTGAATCTTTATCCATACCGCGAAAGCTTAAAATTTGAGGCTATAATATCGGTATCGGTGTGATAAAAGCATATTTGATACACTGAGAACAATAGAAATATTTCATAAATGTTTGGAAGTAAAATAATTACGGATCGAGAGTTTTAATTCAATAAGTAACACACGATGCACGCGTTGTTTCTTTCTTCCAGCAGCTTAGATATTTAATCAACAACAATTGCCGCCTCGACGACAATCGCTTACCATGCTGTCGTAGTGTATGGGCGACGAGAAACCCGGGTGAGGAGGCGGCTCTCTCCATAATCGGGGACATGTGGGATATTGAGAAAGATTGAGGTGAACGTTGATGCCTCGCAGAGCACCCACCACGATTTCCGTAACCACTTCTTGCAACCGGCTTTCGTCCAGGTCTTTCTTTATTGTTCCCACCGCCGCCAAGGAGACTTTCACCTGATACGGAAACACAAAATAAATAATATCCTTTCGTCGAACTCGCTCCGATCTCATATTTCTCATTATCTCGCCGATTTTGTTAATATTCGTCAAGGAAACGAAGCGTTTCAACATTTCTGTTTGTGTACAACGAGATGATGCTCATTAGGGGAGACCGGATTTGGTTGTGTCACTTTTTTATATACTACTGATTAAAAGAAAAAAATTGTATTTAACATCTTCTAATATTGTGTACATTATAATAGAGCAACATGTTTTAGGTAAAAAAAAAATATTAATATTATATATATATATATATATTATAAAAAATATTAATAATATATATATATATATATATATATATACGAAGAAGTTATTGAATTGTAAACAAGGTCGCACAAAAATAACCTAAATGCGCCATTAAACTAACCGGATTTACTTTGACGATATTCGGCGATCAGCACGCATGCTTTCACGTGCGTAAAGAATGTCATAGTGTGACAACCGGTCTTAACGGACTTGAGTCAATTCACCCCAAACGTTCATCCGCAATAAAAGAGATTATAAATAATGTTGCAGTAACGATGAATTAAATATTGGAAAAATCGCTCTTAACGCACTTAACGCTTAGGTCTATATTATTTTACTATTTTATCAAAAAGTGAGCTCAGAATATTGGACTATAACATAATTTCAGATCATTTTTAGATGAGATAATATGTTTTTTTATCTAAAATGGAGATGAATATATTTTGCATTTCTTCCATCTGATTAAATATAATGATGATTTATTCATTAATCTGGATAATTATCTAGATAACTGTATCTAGATACGGGCGAACATTGTTAATATCATATCATAGATTATGAAATTTATCGTGGTTGTTTACAAATGGTACAGGACTTTTCTGTTCAATTTTATGAGCTTTATCCACACACGAGCGTTGCCACACTTAATTTTCGAACACACTATATGTATTGTCGCGTCAACATATGTATGGTCCAGGAACAAATGACGAGACGTTACGGTTAATAAAGTAGCTGCGCGTTACATCACCGGAAATCCGCCGACAATGAGATCTCGCATATGTCGCATTTGCTTGCGTACCTCCGGCCAGCCGTCGCATTTTAAATCGACCAGCAGTTTCTCGGTGATGCAGACGACGTTCAACCGTGCGCGAAAGCGATTAACATTGACCCGGTAATGATTGACTTCCAGCTTGTCGCCACGTTGCCGAAATGCCTTCAGCTGCAGAGCCGGTGTAGCCTCGCAGTCGCACGTGATGGTCTGAAAACATGATATAATTGATTACTCGTTCAGTCCATAATAAAAGCATCCCAAAAGCGACGTATTGGTCGCTGATGAATGAAATCATCTTTTGATTCTCATCTGTTAACATTTTGATGACCGCTATCACGTATAGGTGATTTCGTTTCGCCAGCGGCTATCGCCTTATGAAGAAATATTTTCCGATAATAACGATTTACATACAATTATATAATTGTAATATATTCATGTGTGAATATAATTTATAATATTATATATACATATACGCGTTATGCGAGTTAACTCATAGTTGACGTATGGAAGAAAAATTGTTTTCGAGTTAACTACGAGATAATTTGTATTTAGCAGTCAATGGTTGCGTTCAACGAACATACGGCTAAGTGTTCGATTTTTGAAAAGTGGATGTGATTGGTAGATCTAAAAATATATCGGATCATAGATAATTTTGACTCAACGGTTCTATAACCGTCGTGTTCCCTGAAAACAACAATGCGTAGTGCTTTGAAAGTAAAAGTTTTCGGCCAAAATTCGAAATCTTAATAAAATAATTTCTTAATTACAGAAATTATTTTTAAAGAAAAAAGTAAGTATTTATGTGTGATTCAACATTTACCTCACACTCTTTCTTTTTAGATAAATACAAAATATTTTCCCATAAATAATTTCTTCTAAACGGTGTGCCATTTTGTCTTTTACGATTCTTTTACTGTTCTTGAATAAGGATTTTATATCATTTAATCGATTATTTTTATTTTCTGATTCTCTCCAAACTTCATACAGAATCTGATAAAACACGTTATACGGATCTAAAAAAAGAATTATTTTCAAAAGATGCAAACGAATATAACAGATTTTAGCAGTGCAAAAATGTTGACAATTATTATACAACTTTAGTCTTCCTCCAGAAACTTTTGAAAAATTCTAAACTTTTGGTAATAAACATTTCTCCGATGTAAGATTACGCTTATTTCAAGCACAAATCTACTTACTATACATTTCACTTCAGAACTAAAAATAAAATATGAAATTATTTATTAGGTTGGCCAATAATTCCGTGCGGTTTTTTATACATATAAATAAAAGAAAGACGGTTTCTTTTTAGAAGGCAATAACTTTAATCAACAATATATTGGTCGTTGTGATCCATTATCTTTTATTATCTTTCTGGCAGTATAGTTCAAAGTTAGGCTTCTAAATTTAAGTGATTTACCCTATACATATATATATATTAGTAATATATATATATATTAGTAATACAAATAAGTTTCCGCCGTTTTCAAAAGATGGCTCCATCGACAAGATTATTTTGAAATCGTCAGATGTAAAACATCATATAGAAAGTTTGGATACCTGGCAACAACATAACCTTAAAATACTATTAACTTTGTATTGGCAGTATACATTTTTTTCGTTCGAAAATATCGAGTTTTGTACCGAATAAGCGTCATTTGCGGGAAGTTTTGAATTATTTCTTTCATTTAAAGAAATCTGCTGCTGAGACGCATCGGTCGCTTGTAGAAGTTTACGGTGATGCTGCTTTAAGTGAGAGAAGTTGTCATGAGTGGTTTCAAAAGTTTAAAAAGGGCGAATTTGACGTGGAAGATAAAGAACGCGAAGGAAGGTCAGTAAAGTTTGAAGACGCTGAGTTAGAGGCATTATTGGACCAAGACTCATGCCAAACTCAAGAGCAGCTCGCAGAAAACTTGGGAGTGACTCAACAAGCGATTTCAAACCGTCTCAAGACCATTGGTATGGTACAAAAGCAAGGATATATGCATATATATATATATATATATATATTTCTTCTGAAATTTATTTTTTAAGATTCACTTCAAGTTGATGTAACTGTAGTTTTATAATGTTCCATAGCCGAATAATCATAAATTGTTATCATACACTATTTTTTTCCTCACACATCAATAAATGCGAAGCAAAAAATATTGTTTATTCAAAAATGACCTTTGATCGTAGCTGTCACGCTGTCGAAATTGTGTTACATATATTAATTTAAATAGTGATCGTAGCATTATATTAGGTTGGTGCGTATGAAATGTCGCATTCTCTTTACATGCGGACGTTTTCCTCCCTGTTTTCGTTATACTTTTGTATTTGGCATAACCTCAT